TGCCACCCGCACAACCGACCAGGGCCGGGGACAAACTGCAACCAAGGTACGCGCCCTTAGCGGGAACCGAACCCTGGTCTCTCAGGACCGCAGGCCGACGCTCTAACCGCTGAGCCAAACCGGCCAGGGCGGGCCTTTCTGCTATTAATGAGGCATAAATACTGCACTTCTAAAGTTCACTTAACTTTTCTTCCTGGCAATGATCTGCTAGCAACATGTATCAGCTTCCTGAAGGTCCATTCCTTCTTTCTGGAATTTATTTTTTATTTTTATTTATTCTTTTAGAGAGACATTAACGTGAGAGAGACACTCATCGGTTGCCTCCTGCACGACTCATACCAGGGCCAGAGATGAACCACAACCGAGGTACATTCCTTGACCGGAATCGAACCCGAGACGGGTCTGCGGGCCAATGCTCTAACCGCTGAACCAAACCGGCCAGGGCTACTTTCTGGAATTTAAACTGAATCAGAAAATTGGCAACATAATCATCCTTTGCAGTTCCTTCCCTGCAGTGGGACTTGGCTCTCCTTGAGGACAACCCCTCTGTCCACACTGAGACCCCCCACAACCATGGCAAAGGCTGAGTTTTGTACTTTCCATACCCAAGGAAGAAAGGAAAGGGGGTCTTCTCGATGATAAACTGACTCTAGGATGTCCCTTCTGTGCGCCCACAACCTGGCCAGCACCATGCTCCTTCCTTTGGCCCAGTTCTCCAGCTGTACCCGACGTGAAGAAAGCCAGAAGCCCGGTCCCGGGACTAGATGCCTGTACCCTGGGAGGGCATCTGTCTTCTGGGTGCTGCCCGCCCACCTGCAGGCCTCGGGGGCAAGTGCGTGTACTTGTGTTTGTTGGTGTGGCTGCCCTGGGCGGGGGGCGGCAGTGTGTTCAGCCGAGGGGGAGGGCCTCAAACTAGCCAAGCAGGAGAGGATGCCAGGTGTGGACATGGCCCGAGCGCCAGGGGGGCCCTCTGTAGGGAGTGGAAGAGAAAGACACGCTGCTGCCTCTCCCAGACCAAGATCATGGTGCTGCCCAGAGGGCTCTGGGGAGGGGACACTGGCCAACAGACCACGATGTTTTCTCTGGCCTCAGAAAGCGCTTCTGCAGGGAAGAGGGCCCCCTCCCACCACCCAGGAGAGCTGAGATCTCCTGTTCTCCTTTGTTGGGTCCGTTCCCCAGTGCTAGTCTGACAGGTAGGGTGGGTTGGGGAAGCAGAGATGCTGAGCTTTATGAGGTGGGGGAAAGGTACTTACACAATAGGAGCCCCATATGCAGGTAGGAAGGGCAGGGTTTGGACAAGATTGATGGGCACTGACTTCCTCTCCTGCCCTTTGCCCTGATGCCCAAGGCCCAGAGGAAGGGCTCTGACCTCAGACAAGGGCACCACTGACCTGGAGAGGAGCTGGAACTCTGATTTGGGTCCAGAGAGGGTCAAGCTGAAGCCCTCCCACGCCTACTGAGCCTCGGGATAGGAGCAAGCCAGGAGCCGGTGATCTCCCTCAAACTCCTGTGTCTGCTCCGTGCTCCCTCGTGAACCAGCCCCCACCTCACTTCTTCAGGCCCCCTCCCCTCCCCTCAAGCCCCTATTTCCCATGTGACATTCTAGTTTGTTCCCAATCCACTCAAGGACGTCTCCTTCTGGCCCTGGCTGGGAAATAAACATGTATGATTTTACCACCAGTATCAGAATTGGATGGCTTGTCTTCGGAGAGCACTGAAAATGGATCTGTCTGGTGGATCATTGTAAGTCCATCCCAGCCAGCTGCTGTAAACAGCAAGCAGAAATGGCACGTTGGAAATGTATGAAAGCTGGGCCCTTTGCGTATTTTGCATGTGGGAATATGGACCGCATCGCAGAAGGCAGGCTTTTCATCTGAAACCACATGGAGATGCATCGGCGAATAAAGAGATCCCTCAATAGGGTGGGTGTCTTCCTTTATCCTTTAACTTAGTGTTCTCTTCACAGATTTCTCCAGCAAAGCAGCCCCTCCCCTTTCAAGCTGGAGGAAAATACAAAGACAACTCAAAGCTCCTGGGGTCTGGGAAAGCAGCCCAAACAAGGAAGAGTGGTATTTTGTTAAAAGCTATTGTTTTTCATTTAAAAACATGAGATTTCACTCCAAAATACATCATTTTATTCCTGAAGTCTCAAGTACCCCTGCGACCCATGTATTCTCTGGCACATAAACAAAGCTTGCACATATTCTTGAAACTGCAGAATTCTAATGTTGTTTGGGAATTCACACAACACAGCATAAACATTTAAAATCCGGGATAGGAGAAACTTCCTTTTTATGTACCGTGCCCGCCCCCCCCCCCCCCCCATTTCCAACATTTCTAAATAGAGGAGCAGCTCCATGTTTTCTTCCTAAAATTCGCTGAATATGCAGAAAAATTAGCAGGTGAATTTGAAACATAAGAAAATCCTGTGGCAAGTTGTATTTTTGCAACAGCAAACTACCAGCTGAGGTCTTTTCTGTAATGCCAATTTGAATGATTAAATATCAACAATTAGTAATGAATTATATTAACTGTAGAATTATTGTTAAATTGTTAGGTGTGAAAATAGTATTGTGGTCACTTAAAATAGTCATGCTAAGGCCCTCTCCAGTTTGGCTTAGCAGTTAGAGCATTGGCCCTCGGACCAAAGGGTCGTGAGTTTGATTCCTGGTCAAGGGCACTTACCTGGGTTGCAGGTTCGATCCCTGGTCTCTCTCACATTGATGTGTCTCTTTATCTCTCTCTCTCCCTCCCTCCCTTCCACTTTGTCTAAAATAGCAATGGAAAAATATCCTCGGGTGAGGATTAACAAAAGGAAAAGTCATGCTTTGTTAGATTCATACAGTATATAGTGCAGATTTGCAGGTGAAATAATATGACGGTTGAGAGATTATTTTAAAACTTCTGACCCTCACCCTCCTCCACCACCAAAAAAGTATGTGTGGATGGGGAGGGTGAGTGAAAATAACAAAGATAAATTAAACAAGAAAAAATATTGATAGTTTCTAAAACTAGGTTAAATAAGAGGGTTCTGTCCCTAATTTTGTATATATTTACATATTTTTCATAATAAAAATAAACTACCAAGTCATGTTGAAAAATGGCAATTCACTGAAATTTACTGAGAAAAAAATAAAATTGAATTAACCAATATCAAATATTGAAATGAAAAGACCATCAACTACAGCCTCCACGATGACTTCCTGAAATAAAGACTGTTCCAACCAGAGTATTTTGTTAGTTTTTGGTTTCTGGCCTCATGTTTTTTTCTTAAACCAACCACTGCAATTAAGTAATATTCAAACTGTTAATTTGTGAAGAGATTGGAATTCCATGTTATAAAATGGCTATGATCTAGACCTGCTATGCTCAGATCTCTATGGAGGCTGATGGCATTTGTAATTAGAATGCAAAATCACACTTTGTGTGATTGACAAAGACACTGCAGATGCTGAGAGATGTGACAAGGTCCTTATTTGCATGCCTGGATGCCCTGCCTTTCAGTATTCATTTCTCCCAATCACTGGACCCATGAGACCAAGTCTATGACCTCATGTGTAAGGACTTAACCACTTTGCTATGTATCACTGGAGATGGACATGCGTTTATTTGTAATCCTCAGATGCTCGAGCATAAAGTTGTTTTCCTCTAGTAATCAGAGAATGTTACACATTTCTGCCATTTAGTATATACTATGTGCATCATCTGTTTATATTATTACTATTATTTTAAGCAAAAGGAAAGTTTATTTGAAAATAGACTCCTCGGAGTGGGGAGGGGACCCAAGTGAGTTGCCCTTGTTTATATTATTTTTAAAAAGAGCATATTTCACCTTGGCTGGTTTGGCTCAGCAGTTGGAGCGTCGGCCTGCAGTCCCGAGAGACCCGGGTTCGGTTCCCGCTAGGGGCGCGTACCTCGGTGCAGTTTGTCCCTGGCCCTGGTTGGTCGTGTAGGTGGCAGCCACTCGATGTGTCCCTTTCACGACGATGTTTCTCTCTCTCTCTCCCTCCCACTCTATCTGAACAAAAAATGGAAAAATGTCCTCGGGTGAGGATAAAAAAAAAAAAAAGAGCATATTTCTTGAAGCTAATAATACACTACAACTGAGGGACAGGGTCACACCTTCATATGGAGCACCTGTTAATGAACTTTCTAAGGCATGTCTAAGTGAGAATTCCGTCATTGCATGGGTGTGTCTCACATACCTGAAGAGATCACAGTAGTGCACATGGGGTGTGCACAGGGCAGGCCTATAGAAATTTGTGTTTTATTTTAGTAATCACATTTTTATTAAAAATTTTTTTTGTTTTGTTTATTGATTTGAGAGAGAGAGGAAGGGAGAGGGAAAGAGAGATAGAAACATCGATGAGAGAGAACATTGCTTGGCCGCCTCCTGCATGTCTCTCCCGTCCCACATAATGAGCCCCCGGCCAACCCCTCATGGAGGCTCTCTCCACACCAACTCTGCGACATCAAACCGCATGCCAGGTCCAACCACACCCACCACGCCCCAGCTCACCCCACCAAACCGCACGCGACTCTGCCAATGTGGCTCCCACCACAGCAACCGTCCCCCCCCCCACTCTACCTCACCACATATGCCCCAAGCCAAGCCCACAGGCCATGAGCAGAGCTGGGGTGTCTGCGAGTGTGGAGATTGGTGTGGGTTTGGTGGGTGAGTATGTGTGTGCGTGTACTATGGTTGTAACTTAGCTTTTGTTCAGATTTTCTTTCACCCTTTGTTCTGGTCTTTGTTTTTGTCTTTGGCCTTTGTTTTGTCTTTGTTTCACTCTTTGTTTAAATTTTCTTTGGCTTTTGTTTGGTCTTTCTTTAGCCATTTGTTTAAACATTGTGTGGCCTTTTTGTAGTCTTTGTGTAGCTTTTGTTTTTAAGTGAATCTTGGCTGAGAACCCATCAAAAACACCTTGTGTAATGAAAAACCCGGATATATAATCTCTCCCTATATATTCTGCATGCATTGAGTAGCCTCAACCTCCCCAGGGCCCGGGACATTCGTGGAACCTGGTTCACACCACAGCGGCCACTTGAAGGTAAGAGGATCCCACTGGTTTTCGTCTTCCTTCTGTTGTCCTTGGTCTCCGGTAGCAAGTGCACATTCGTGTGTGGGCTGTTTCGTCACCTCCTGGGGAAGCCTGCTGTGATAGCCACCAAGCCTGCCAGGACAGGACAGGATGGAGAAAACAAGAATGGAGGACACCAAGGTTATCTGCTGTGGGCAGAGGGCCCTGCTGGAATGTTCTGGCAAATGTCTGGAAGTTGTCAGAGCCTGGGAAAGGGTCCCTTACCCAGATTCCAGTCTACAGCCCCTGTTCCTGGAGCTAGATCATCGGCACTATTGGCTTCTTTCTCTCTCTCTTCTTTTTTAATTTATCATGATTTGAAAATGAGTTTTTCTTATCTAGGAAGGCCTTCCTTCCTACAGCCGGGTTTATGTGTGTGTGTGTGTGTGGGGGGGGTACTAAGAGGACAACAAAGCCCCGTCTTGGAACAATTTTGGCTGCTTAGAAACCTTTAGTGGAAAGACGCTCACGCTTTGTCTTGAACAGAATCTCAGGAATCACAGAGGTTTTCTTCCAGTTTTGTGGTTGATAGAAAAAGGAATGACAAGATCATGCGTCAGGGGAATCAAGTCATGAACTTGGCTCACGTTTGAGGAAGAAAATGGGGAAAGGCGTTTTTAACGCTCTGTGAGGAAGTCGGACTCCTGTCCGGTGTGCGGCTGTTTCGTGTTTGTGCAGAAGAGCAGGCGGACGCCTTGGGGAAGGGGTTTGAAACATTCTCTCTTGTGTACAGAGAAATCGCTCACGGTACACAAATTCCAGACGTACCCGCGTGACTCGAATGCTGACCTGTTACTACATTTACTTTCTCGTCCTTTCTCTCTCTGTACACACATACACATTATTTTTTCTGAGCCACTTGAAATTAAATTACAGACGTGATCAAAGTCAGAAGATTAACATGGAGAAAACACTATTATCTAATCTACAGACAACTGCGTTTCCCAGAGATCAACCCCGGATCTTGACCCACTTTGGGGGTTCTCCTGACCCACTTTGGGGGTCACGTCCCTTTATTCTGTTCGCGTGCAGCAGGACCTGAGGCAGCTGCTGTCTTTCTTGCCGTGACCGTTTTTGAAGAGTTATTTTGTGAAATGCCTTTCTATTGGGGTTTGGTCTGATGGTTTCTCATGATTAGGTCCAGGTTATACAGTTTGGGAAGGACTATGCTTGCATTTTATTTTATTTATTTTTTATTAATTAATGTTTGTTACAGATGTTTCTCCTTTCCCCCCAGACATCCCCCTCCCTATCTCGCCCCCCATCCCCACCCAGCATTGTTGTCTATGTCCATTGGTCACACATACATACATATAAGTTCTTTGGTTTATCTCATCCCGCCCCCACCTCCCTACTCTGAGGTCTGTCAGTCTGAACCGTACTCCTTTCTATGTCTCTGGGTCTATTTTGCTCATCAGCTTTTTCTGTTCATTATATTCCACAAATAAGTGAGATCATGTGGTATTTGTCTTTCTCCGCTTGGCTTATTTCGCTGAGCAAAATACTCTCCAGGTCCCTCCATGTCGTCTCAAAGGATAAGGTATCTTTCTTTCTTACAGCTGCATAGTGTTCCATTGTGTATATGTACCGCAGCTTTTTTATCCACTCATCTACTGATGGACACTTGGGTGCTTGCATTTTAGACTCACACTTGAATCTGATGCTGCAAACTTTAAAAAAATATATTTTTCTTTATTGATTTTAGAGAGAAAGGAAGGGAGAGGGAGAGGGAGATATAAACATCAATGAAAGAGAACATAGATTGGCTGCCTCCTGTATGCCCCCCACTGGGGATTGGGCCCACAACCTGGGCATGTGCCCTAACTGGGAATCAAACCGGCCACCTCTTGGTGCGTGGGTCGATGCTCAACCACTGAGACACAGCGGCTGGGCTGATGCTGCAAACTTTTATTCAAGCTCCTATGTATCTACTAGGTAACTAGGATTTTACATGAGTTCCCAAAATCTTATAAGAAAACACAAAAATGGAAAATCCAGGACTTTTTTTTTTACCGATAATTCCCAAATATTCACCAAAAGTATATAAGTGCTGTCCTTTATATATAAATGGTAATTATGATGATATATACATGAACTTGATAAGTATATAGTGAGGTGTTGAATCTAGATTCTTTGTGTGTATTGGATTCATGTCCACTACTCTATGACTGAGTATTCATGTCATAAATGTGATCCTTTCCTTCTAAGCAAAACCATCTGCTGAAAACAGGTACAGGTCAATACAGATCTGACCTGAATAGCCACTCCAGGCTCGCTGGCCACCTCTCGCATTGGCAGGGACCTACTAGAAGGAACTTTTGTTTTGTTTGCCTGTATGTGGGAAATCTTGTTTGGAGGTGGCTGGCAATTTTATCATTATTAAAATAAGTTTTTAGACATGCAAGTATAAAGCATCCATCATTTTTTTCTCAGAGGAAACTCTGAAGTCATCGTAAATCTGAATGAGGGGGAGTCGATTAATTTGTTATACGATCTTTGTAGTTAAGTGACTGTATTATGGCTTTAACAGGACTAGTCCCTGGATGAGGTAGATACATGTTTTTTTCCCTAAATATGAAATCAGATGAGAAGTCTGGGGTTCTGCACATGGTGCTATTTAATGTTGAGGAACTCAGCTATTGGGAAAGTGTAGCATTTGCTATTAAGATTGCCTTATGTGGTCCACAGAAGTCACCCTGGAGTTTGAGAAAGTGCTTTCTGCTTAAATGGTTGTGTGTTCCTATGATGGGCCTGCTGAGGTGGAAAGTAAGGGCCTCCTTCGCTCACTCAGTCAAAATAACTGTGGGTGGTCAGGACACGGAAGGCTTGGAAGGCCAGGAGGGACTTGTGGATGGGAGCTGAGTTGCTTTCCACAACCTGGAAGTCTGCTAACCCTCAGATTAGGTTCCATGGTGTGGACTCCAGGAGTGACCTCTTGCACGGGCTGTGAAGGCCATTCTCAATTCTGGTTCTTCTGTTATCATGCATTAGATAAAACATGGTGTTAGCTGTGCTCTGGGGGTTAAGCGATCAATATGTTTTAAAATGTACCTGGGATTTTGTTTTTGGTTAGGTATGGTGAGGCCAGCAGAGCAGTTCCCTAGAGAGGGCATGCCAGACCACACAGGGCCAGATGGGGAGCTCTAGAGTCGGCCAGGAGCCAGAAGGAACTAGGAAAATGTGGGCAAGAGACTTCGTTGTATCTTTGCGTAGGGTTGAATGAGCCAGGCAGGGTAAGGAGGCTAGGCAGGTTTAGGATGGACGAGTTTAAATAAGTCCAGTGGGCTCTGGGGTGTAGGGCTGTCCTGAGTCATCTGGTACTTGGCTCTAGGATGATCAGGATGGAGGAATATTGGCTCAATCTGTGACAGTTAGATAAAAAGTGTAGTTGGTGTGTTTAGGCTCTGGATTGGTTGGTTTGAACATAAGAGGCACACTCACGGAGGAGTAATTTACTGTCTCTAGAAATTAATTAGCCTTGGGAGGAGCATTCTCTCCAGGATCAGCAAGGCCCCAGATGCAAGAGCATCAAGAATACAGGAAATAAAAAAATATAGTTAATCCATAGTCAGTGTCCATGTATAGAATGAATGGGCTTAGGGAAAAGGGAGCAGCATAATATTATTATTTTTTTAATCCTCACCTGAGAATATATTTTTCATTTATCTTCAAATAGAGTGTGAGGGAGAGAGAAAGAAACATTGATGTGAGAGAGACACATGGATTGGTTGCCTCCTGCAAGACCCAACGAGGACTGGGGATTGAATCGAAACCAAGGTACATGCCTTTGACTGGAATGGAACCCACGACTCTGGTCCACGGGCCGATGCTCTAACCCCTGAACTAAACTGGCCAGGGCTGGGAGTAACATTTTAGCCTCAGAAGCAAGAGCATTTGAAAGTCAGGACATCTGATATAGACAGGATCATGGAATGTGTATCTATTTCTAACGGGAGCCCCCAAATCAGTGATAAAAATAGAAGAATGGATCTTCCGTGATCCAGTGTGGATATATACAGCAGTGAGTATATTCGTTTTATATCACTGTGTAACAAGTGACCTCAAACTTAGTGTCTTAAAACCACACGCATTTATTCTCTCGCAATTCTCCAGAGAGCCCAGCAGGCTTGGTGCTCCGCTTTGAGTGCCACAAGGCTGAAATCGAGGTGTCTGCAGGCGCTTGGGGAGACTGCATCCAGGCTCCGTCAGGGTGTTGGCACAATTCATTTCCTCACAGTTGTAGGACTCCGGTTGCTGGCCCCCGCCATCTTCAAGCGATGTTTAGCTTTTATTATGCTCCGAATGTCTCTAACCTTTTCTTCTGTTACATTTATCTGATTCTAGCTGAAGAATCATTTGGCTTCTAAGGGCTCATGTGATTAGATTGGGCCCACCCAAATAATCCAGGATAATGTCCCTATTTTAAGGTCTATAACGTTAATTACATCTGCAAAGTTCCTTTTGCCATGTAGTTTCAGCAATTAGGATTTGGAAATGGATTGGGAGAGCCATTTCGCCTGCCACAGGGTGTTTATAATTAATGTAAATGCTGAGTACTTGGTTAAGGTGGTATTGGCCAGATTTCAATTCCATTATGAAATTGCTATTTTTTTGTTTTTAAAAAACATATTTTTCCCCCCTTTATTGATTTTACAGAGAGGAAGTGAGAGGGAGAGAGAGATAGAAACATCGATGAGAGAGAACATCAAGTGGCAGCCTCCTTCATGCTCCCCACTGGGAATCTGGCCCACAAACCGGGCATGTGTCCTGACTGGGAATTGAACTAGTGGTCAACCCATGCACCAAGAGGTCGCTGGTTTGATTCCTGGTCAGGACACATGTGCAGGTTGTGGGCTCAATCTGTATCTCTGACTCCAATCCAGTACACTACAAGATATATTCCAGGATTCCTCTTGTCCTTATTTGTAACTTCATTCTCTGACAGAAAAAAGTTTGATTCCCATTATCTATAGCATATTAACTTATTTGCTTAATCCTAGTGTCTATATACAAAGAAGTTTTAGAGTTGCTAATCTATATTTCTGTGAGAAACAAATTTATCAGAAATTGACCATTTATTTTGCAATTGACCATTTTTGTATAGTTATTTTTTTTCTTTAACCTTATAGTATCTACTTAAAACAATGATTTTTTTCAAAGTTACTTAGGTCACTTCCTTTCTTTCCCATCTCTTCAGTGTGGTTATGTGATTAATTTGTAATCCAGTTAGATCCATTTGTCACAGTCTGAGCTCCGTTCTGTGTTCCCTCTCTTTCCCCACATTCTAATTTATGTTTTTGTTAAATTTTTTTTTTTTTTTTTTTTGTGGTACGTGCCCCTAGTGGAAACCGAACCCGGGACTCTCTGGTCCGCAGGCTGATGCTCAACCGCTGAACCAAACTGGCCAGGGCTGTTTTTGTTTGATTTTTAAAGAACTTTACAAATTATTTTTAAAATGCCTCATCTTGTCACCAATTCTCTTCATCTTTCCTCTACTTTCTTTAACATATCAATAATGGTCATTTCCAAGTCTGCTTCTATTGACTATTTTTTCTGTTGATTTCAGTCTCCTTTTCCTATTTTTGTCTGGTAACTTTTATCCTATGCTGAGCATTGTAGATTACAGATTGTAGGTTATAGAGGTTCTGGGTTATGTTAAATTACTGTAGTATCACCTTTATCCTGTCAAGACTGGATTTTAGGTGTTGTTAGGGTAGACCTGTTTCATCTTTGCTTTTACTCCTAGACATGGTTTCTATCCTAGGGTGAGATTCTTTCTGGGATCTCAACTGGAAGTTTGGATTATTTACTAAGGTCTCACTATGTCTCTCCAGTAATGTGTGAGCTCTGGTATTTCTTCTCAGTTATCAGCCTCTCAGCAACTGTTTTTATCCCCCCCTTGGGCTTCCCACAGTCTCATCTTGAAATTGCACAACTTTGGAATTTGCCAAATCTGAGAAAAATGATATCTGTTTAGTTGTTTCCTACATTACTCTTCCCTCTACCCCTTCCCAGATACCTGCAGTCTATGCAGTGCCTAACTCTTATCTCTGTTTCTTCCTCTCTCTGCTTGAGTTCTTTTCCCCTGCATAGCAGTTTGAAAAATATCTTCAGGGAGAAAACAAGGATAAGTGTGGGGTTCACCTCTGCTACTTCCTTTCTCTCAAGGATCATAGCCTGGAAATGTTTGCCATTCAATGCCTGCAAACAATTACTTTACACATTTGCTCAGCTTTTGTGGTTGTTTCCAATTAAAACATACGTTCAATACTTGCTACTACGTTATGATTGTTCAATTTTTTTATTTAAATAAAAGTGCTTGCAGAATTATTGAATTTCAATTATTCTGTCAAGTAGGTAGGAGAAGAGGAATATGTTCATCTGATTTGACAGAGAAATCTTCCAAAGATTTACGAAGTTAGTTACACAGAGTTGTCAATTGCATCATTGTCACTAGAAACACAAATTATCAACTAAGACAACCAGAGTTACAGGTTTCATTTGGAGGTAATTTTTGTTTCTAGAATCTTCATAATCTTATAAGACCCTTTTATTCAAACAACACTTCCAAAATTTGATATATATTTAAAAGAATTGGACAAATGATTACCAATAGTCGCATAAATCTTCAAATTGCATGGGAAAACAATATTGATATTCTAAAACATCAAATGCTTTATCAAATTGGATTCCTTCATTGAGTTTATAATGCAACAAAAACATCTCTCTTCCAGAGCTGTAGGAGAGAAGACAGTCCTTCAACTCCTTTCTTCAGATGCTTTACTTAATAGTGAAGACTTGCATTTTTAGAGCCAGACTCAGAAATTTTATTTATTTCAAACATTTGATTTATTAGTGTTATAAGCAAACACCAAGTTTGTAGAGCTCAGATTTACTAGGAGAAATGACTAAAGATTTTTTGCTTAATAACAGCGAATCAACTGGACATATATAGCATTTTCCCTCTATAATGATAAGATTGGCTTTTAAAAGTTTGTATGTGGGGGACTTCCGGTCAAGATGGCGGGTAGGTAAACGCGGTATCGCGTCCTCCCACAACCACATCAAAGTTACAACTAAACTACAGAACAACCATCATTCAAAACTGCCTGAAATCAAGCTGAATGGAAGTCATACAACTACGGAATTAAAAAAAAAAAAAAGCAGCTACATCCAGACCGGTAGGACAGGCGGCGCGGCGGCACGAGGGGTGGCGGCGGCGAGACAGGCTGGTCCCACACCCACATGAGGCGGATAAAACTCAGGAGGACGCCTCGGCTGGGAAGGTCCTTCCTGAGGACTGAGGGGTCCCCGTCCCACACCAGGTGCCCCGCTCAGGGTTCCAGTGCCAGGAAGAGAATCCCCATAACTTCTGGCTGGAAAAACCAGCGGGAACTGAGGCTCAGGGAGGCTGAGGCGGCTGGAGCCCCAGGCAGCTCCTTAAAGGGCCCGCGCACGGACTCGGACTCTCTCCCTCTAAGCTCGGAGGGGAGGCAGCTCGAGGGGCACCAGAGACATACAGGGAAGAACTGAGCTGTTTGGCACTGGAGCGAGGGCTGGAGAGGGGGCTTCCTCGGGGACAAACGTGCTGTCAGAGGCCTTTGTTCCCTTTGGTGAGCCCTTCTCTGGGGCCGCAGACAGTCGCCATATCTGGGACTCCAGCAACCTGGCTCACACTGGTAGCCCCGCCCTGCTGACTCCCTGAGGCCCCGCCCCGCCCCACCCAATTTTCAAGCCCACCCAAGCTGTTGCCACTTGCTTAACCATAGGATTGGCCTGTCTTGGATCCTGCTTCAGGTTTTTCCTAAATTGTTTCAAACGAGCAGCATCGGGTCTCAGCGAGCCCCATACCTCTCATTAAGTAATACACAGAAACAAACACAGGGAGGCAGCCAAAATGAGGATACAAAGAAACAGGTCCCAAATGAAAGAGCAGAACAAAACCCCAATAAAAGAACTAAGCTAAAGGGAGATAAGCAACCTAACAGATACTGAGTTCAAAATACTGCTTATAAGGATGCTCAATGAACTTAGTGAGAACCTCAGTGAACTTAGGAAGGGCCTCAAGAGCATAAAAAAGGACCAGTTAGAAATCATAGATACACGTTAGAATTAAAGGAGGCATTAACTGAAATAAAGAATAATTTACACAGCTTCAATAGTAGAGTATGTAAATCCAAGGAGCAAACCATTGATTTGGAATATAAGGAAGCAAAAACTCCCCAATCAGAACAGCAAAAAGAAAAAAGAATCCAAAAAAATGAGGATAGTGTAAGGAGCCTCTGGGACAACTTCAAGCATGCCAACATTCACATCTTGGGGGTGCCCGAAGGAGAAGAGCGAGAACAAGAAATCGAAAACCTGTTTGAAACAATAATGGCAGAAAACTTTCCTAACTTGGTGAAGGAAACAGACATACAAGTCCAGGAAGCACAGAAAGTCCCAAACAAGATGAACCCCAAGAGGCACACAGCAAGACACATCATCATCAAAATGCAAAAGGTTCAAGACAAAGAGAGAATCTTAAAAGCAGCAAGAGAAAGGCAGCTAGTTACCTACAAGGGAGTACCCATTAGGCTGTCAGCTGATTTCTCAAAAGAAACTTTGCAGGCCAGAAGGGAGTGGCAAGAAATATTCAGAGTGATGAAAACCAAGAACCTACAACCAAAATTACTCTATCCTGCAAAGCTGTCATTTAGAATTGATGGACATATAAAAACTTTCCCAGACAAGAAAAAGTTAAAGGAGTTCATCACTACCAAACCGTTATTATATGAAATGATGAAGGGTCTTTTTGAAGAAAATGATAAAATGTATGAACAAACAAAATGGCAATGAATACATATCTATCAACAATGGAATCTACAAACAAAATGAACAGGAAGAACAGAAACATTCTCATAGATACAGAGAACATTTTGTTGGTTGCCAGTTGGGAAGGGGGTTGGGGGAATGGGTGAAAAAGGTGAAGGGATTAAGAAGCACAAATTCATTGCTAGACTGACAAACCTCAAAGGGAAAGGGGTTGGGGGGGTGGGAAGAAATAAACCAAAGAACTTCTATGCATAACCAATGGACACAGACAATAGTGTGGGAAAAGGTGGGAGGGGGGTGGGAGTGGGGAGGAGGGGGTCAATGGGGGAAAAATGTGGAACATCTGTAATACATTTTACATCCAAAAATAAAGATTTGAAAAAAAAAAGTTTGTATGTGAATTTGTGATTACTGTGTGACTTCCCTCTATTTCTCAAATGATGAGCATTTGGATTAATCATCACGATCCTTCCCAGAACTGTGAGAGCGAAGCTCTCAGTACAACACACTTGGATGAACTACAACCTAAGTAACCAAAACATTAACCAGAGCATATTCTGCTGCTTCACTTTTAGGGGGGAAAAAAAAGAAGCAGATGATACCAAGACAAGCTCATAACAGAGACCTCTTCACCAGATGTGTACGGATGAAAATACAGGTACAAATGAATCTCTTATACTCTTTTGGACCTGCGTCTAGATTATTGTATAATGATTACTACTTCAAAAAGTCCAAGTAGAATGCAGAATCAGCAAAAGACTGAGCAATCAAACTTTTAATAAGAGTTAAACACTTTTTGTTTTTTTTTAGTCCTCACCTGAGGACACTTTTCGATATTTTGTTCAGATAGAGTGGGAGGGGGAGAGAGAGAGAAAGAGAGAAAGATCAACGTGAAAGGGACACATCAAGTGGTTGCCACCCTCACAACCCAACCAGGGCCAGGGACAAACTGCAACCGAGGCACGTGCCCCCAGCGGGAACCTAACCCAGGTCTCTCTGGACCACAGGCCGATGTTCCAACCACTGAGCCAAACCGGCCAGGGCAAGATAAACAGTTTTAAAAAATGCTTCCAGGTGTTTTATAGTTTGGGGAGTAGAAATTTTGGGAAAAAAAGATAAAAACAACAACAAACCACATGTGTTCATCAGAGACACTATGGCCTAAGCCACCAGTTGTCTACCTTTATCAAATCCATGGCTCCTTTATTCATTTATTCATTGTCACATTGTGGAACTTGCCAATACCTGAAACTACCTCATCTCCGATTGAAAGAGTGCAGACATCTAGGATCTCATTCATGACCTTCCTTTTCTTTCAACTTGCTTTCTCAAGCACCCTACTGCAACTGTTCTTCCAACAGGTACTTCGACTTGCCCCTTCACCTCCCCAACCATTCATCCTCACCCTTTCCTACTTCCTACTGTCTTCCTATTATGGATAGATTCTAGGATCCATCTTTCAAGTATTCTCTTGCAAATTCTCTGGCAAATCCCAACCGTAGATGAACCTGTCTGTCTTCTTCATGGCTGCACCCAGGCTGCTGAGAACAAATGGAGAAAAGCACAATGGGGGAGATCGATACCTCCACAAATTGATGGTCATTGAGCTCAGCGAGGTTCTCAAAACTCCTTGGCAGGTTGGTCTCCAAATGTATGCAAAATTTCTTTTAAACCATTCTGTTCTTAAATCTCCAAGTCTCTTACTCTCTGCTGATAACCTTATCTCCCCCTTCAAGGGAAAAACCAAAGCTATTCATGGGAAAATCATACAGCCAACTGTTTTCCCTCTTCCAACAAAGGCCAACACTTCTCCCTGTGTGCTACAGTCCATCTCCTCTGGTTTTCTTCAAGAAGACTAATTATTTCTACTTCCTGGTTGTATTTCAATCCTTCCCTCTCTACTAGACCATTAGCACTTATGCATGCTCTCATCATACCAAGAAACAAATCAAGAAACCGACCAACCACCTCTCTACTACCCGACTCTCCTCCCCTTTATTCTCAGACTTCTGGCTTGAGTTAACTATAGTTTTTCTCTCCAAATCTTCAGCCCCTATGCCTTCCACAAACTCTCTAATCTAATTTCTGTTTTAAACATTCTATGGAAATAATTCTTGTGAGAGTCACCAATTATTTCCATGTCAGTTAATCTAATATACTCTTTATATCCTCATTTCACACCACTGGTGTCTCAGAGTCTTTCTACAAAGTTGACTACTCTCTCTTTTAAAACACTCCTTCCCTTTGGCTCCCATGTTCCATATGTTCCAGTGTCCCTCCTTCCTCTCCCACTTTAAAAAAAACTTTTTTTCTTTATTAATTAGAGAGAGAGAAAGGGGGGGCAGAGAGAGATATAGAAACATTGATGAGAGAGAACATTGACTGGCCGCCTCCTGCATGCCCCCCACTGGGGATTTGGCCCACAACCTGGGCATGTGCCTGACTGGGAATTGAACCAGCGACCTCTGTGTGCATGGGTCAACGCTCAGCCACTGAGCCACACTGGCTAGGCTCTCCCATTTTTCTCTTTATGCTTTGCCAAGCACTCCTCCTCCACGTAACCTGTAAATGTGGGAGTGCCCCAAGGCACAGTCATACCCTCTTCCTCGCCTACATTCTGCCACCAAGGCAAGTCCATCCATCCGCATGGCTTTAATTGCCACCTATACTCCAACAACTTTCAAATTTTATCTCCTGCCCAGGCTTCTCCTCTGAAGTTTCCACTTGACATCTCCATCTAGATGTCCCTCCAATGCCTCAACCTGAATGCATCTAAAACTGAACTCACGGTTGGGCTTCTTCCTCCAAACCTTCTCCTCCAGTGGATGCTTCCACCACCCACCTGGTTGCTCAAACTATATACCCTGGAGTCTCCCATGAATCCTCCTCTTGTTTCTTTGAATAGATGAATCATTTCAATATAATATGGTAAATATAAAGATGGAAGTATATAAATTATAAGATAAAGATAAGTGGCATTTCATCCAACCAAGGAAGTCTGCAAATGTAACTGCCATTGGGTGACTCACGCACAAAATTTATGAAAAGGGTGGTCAACAGTCTGGTGCTTATTTTTGCTTGTCTCTGGCCTGGTCTCTTCGTCTCCCTGAGACTGAAGCCCTTGGAGAACTTAGTGCAGCGTGGCTGCTCTCGCCGTCCTCCAGCTGTTGTGGAGAATACCTTGGCTCATCAGGTTCTCTCGCTTAGCGCCCTGCTAAGACTACAGGCTAAACTGACTGGGGTTTTTCTATAAGAAAATGCAAATCTGGAAGATTGGTTGCCTTTTTCTTCATCCAGGAAAAATTCTGAGAGAGGATTTGTCTTACTTACATATGCGTACATCCAAAATCCCATCATTTTCATAGAGGAGAAACACAATTCTTATTTTTAAAACCACAAGCAGAGTAAAAAAGGCAAATAATCACAAAACTAAGTACACTTTGAAAAAACAGTATTTTCTACAGAGAGACCATTTTATGTTAAAACCTTAATACTTAAAAGAACCATGCTGAGAATGTGACAAAAGCCATGTGAGTCCTACATAACATTCCAGGGAACAGAAGCACCTGGGGACTTTAAAGACACTCAATTCAATCGTGGTGGAGGACACGACAGAACCCTGGGGATTCAGACAGAAGCCCTTCTCTCTAAGATTCAAGCTGGGATCCCAGACACACAGCCACACTGTTATCACATAGTATGACATGTCCACCAATAGCAGTATGTAAAAATTCCAGAGCTAGCCCAAAGGTGGGAGTGCATCCTTTAATGAGGTGAGACCTTAGTTGGGTTGTTTAGGATGAATAGAAGTTTACCACACATTCAGGATGAGGAAAAGGCATTCCAAGAAAAGACACAGTATGTTCAAAGGTACATCTTTTGATCATAGGATGTTTTTGACCTAGAGCAGGGAGGGGTGGTGGTGAGATAAAGGGATTAGGTGGGCAGGAAGAGTCTTGTGTGCCATATTAACTAAGACACAAGGACTTTGCTCTGTAATTTGAGTAGGGGAAATGATAAACAAGGAGACACTTGTGCCTTTTTGTTCCTCTTCCTGGACCCATTTGCCCTATCTGTAGAACATTATGGAATTATTTAGCCACATACAATTCTAGTGTAAATTCATATGTCTGCAGGTAACACAATGTGTTGTATAGTTTCAGATGTAACAAAAGCAATGTTATGTTATTAAAACTGTGTTCAGAAAATTACTTACATGTTTGTCTTGCTGCACTACAATAAGCAAGGGTTTTATTCCTGAAATATTTGCTAAGTGTATTGTCTGTGTGCTAATACCAACCTTAGATCATACTTGTTCCCGTTCCAGAATAGCCAGAGTCAGGCAGTGTGTTTGTTCAACGGGAAAGGGCTTTTTGCACACGTCTGTGAGAAGCTGTCTGTGAGCAGGGTGGACCTCGGACTGCTTTGATTCATCCCTGTAGCAATGAGGGCTTTGTTTTGTCTCCCGAGTGTGTTGTCAGCTCCAAGAGAGTAAGGGTCCTGTTATGCTCTTATGTTTTCACGGTTTCTTCGGGTCCTCAAATCAGTATTGGGTTTTGGTTCCGGGGGAAAACACTCTCATTCAAAATAAATGCCTGTGTGATGTTTCCTTATCTGGAACTGGTGTCCCAACAAGGATCTACTGCCCAACGTTCATTGCACTACTTTGTAAACATTTCAGTTGCCAAGGACACACGGGGATAAACAAGGACAAATGGATAAAGATGTGCGAGGGACAGACTATGGTAGTCACACACGGTTTACTCCCTGCATGTATCTGTGCTGCTGTGGACGGATCAGCACGGCAGCCGTCTTTCTGTGTACATCTGCACTCAGGAGAAAGCATTAGCTCCTGGCTCGAGAGAGAATGAACCGTGTTAGAAACCATTAGATGTTCTTAGGGAGGTGGTGAATGTGGAATGAATCTGCTCTGCAGTGATCATGTTTTTCAGAGCAGAGGGATTGGGGTCATAGCAGAGCGTTGGGAAGGTTGTGGGAGGTGAAAGAAACCCGGGCCTGAAGTGAAACCTTTGAACCCCCGATATTTATCCCAGAAACAGCTCTTGGACAAAGCACCTCCGTTGCTGGAAGCTGCGGGCATCCTTCTGGAAGCCCAGGGCTTACAGCTTGGATGGTTCATGGAACCCAGCTCCAGCCCAGTCCTGGTTTGCTCAATGCTCCTGCCGCCTAGCCCCTCCCCAGTGCTCTGATTGGCAGCCTTTCCTGCTCTTTGCTAACGTCATCCCTCCCATTTTTGGGCCAATCGGAATGGACATGAATTGGCATTTCTCAGCTGTTGTTTTTCTTTCTTTTAATTTTACAGAGTTAAGCATATTGGTATACGATTACTGACTTTTAAAGATTCACCTTTTTCTATTATTTGCCTGTTTCTGTTTTAATTTATAGTTTGTTTTTTCTTTAAACATTCTGGTTATTAACACCTTACACTTTTATATGATCATATATTTTCTTCTCTACTGGTACAGCTCTTTTAACTGTAACTCTTGTTTCTTTGGTTCTATAAAACCACCACCTTCAATTTGCTTCTGTCCTTTTCACATCTGCCGTTAGAAACCACGTAGTGTCAAGGTTAGAAATACAGACTAGTCCACCTTGGTTGAGATCTTGGGGCCCCCTCTTTACTAGCTGTATGTCCTC